CTTTCTTTCTTTCTTTCTTTCTTTCTTTCTTTCTTTCTTTCTTTCTTTCTTTCCTTCCTTCCTTCCTTCCTTCCTTCCTTCCTTCTCTCTTTCTCTCTCTTTCTCTCTCTTTCTCACTCTCTCGCTCTCTCTTTCTCTCTCTCTTTTTCTTTCCTCTCAACTTTATTATCAAACAAACACATACAGAAATTAAAACCATTCAAAGAAAATGCAAGAGAGAAAAAACAATAATATTCAAATACAGTAGAACTCAACCAAAACAAAACTGAAGAGCATGTAAACATTTTTCCATATAACTTAACTCTTTCTTTTTAATTGAGGGTGCGGTTCTCATGGTCGTCCTGGTTGGACCAGGCCGTCTGTGTGCTGGCGCCTCTCCCTTCGCTTGGGGTTTGTGCCCAGGGCGTTTGCACCGAGCTGCGTTCCCAGAGCCTGTATTTGGGGAGGTTTGGGTACCGGGGATCCAACTCGGGTCCTTGCGTGCGGGCAGGCGGCGGAACCACTGAGCTAAATCCCCGGCCCAGACCCTGTATTTTTTGAGATGGGGTCTCGCTCGCTGCACTGCCCACGCTGGGCTTGAGCTTGCGTTCTCCTGCCATCCTGCAGTGCCGAGGTGAGAGGCGCACGGCCCACCCGCGCTGCCAGAACGCGGAGCGCTCGGCCGTTTCTGGACCCCAGAGGACCGGCCTCCTGACGACGTCCAAACGCCGCGCCCGTTCCTTCGTAACCCTTTAAACTGCAAGAGCTACGATTACCTCAGTGGTCCGAACTCGGGAGCGTTTGTCTGGAGCAGAGGGCGCCCGTAAGCGGTCACTGAGCGGTCACCGTGAGCTCTTTGTGGGAGGGAGGCCGGTGCCACTCCCACGCGTGGGCTCCTCCGCGTCTTCCCGGAGGGGCTGCCCGCGGGTGACCGGCGCCTTGTCCCTGCACAAATTACACCGTGCCTCGGAGTGTGTGTGTCTTCCCTTAGAACCGTTATTTTTAAAGTGTCATTTTCGTAAAATCTTAAATTCAAAAGAATTAATTCTTTTTGTCCATCGACCTAGGATTTCTCCTGCCCAGTGGTTTTTAACGGTGAAAGAAGTAGGAGGAAGGACTTTCTAACTCTTAGCTTCTGGTTTTTACGGTAGTAGGACTTAGAATGTCAAATACAGATTCTGAAAACTAAGCTTTTCTTGACGAAGAAAATGTATTAAAAGTAGGGAAGTCTGATGAAGGTTCATTACTGCATTAATGTAGAAACTATGGGAAAGAGAGGAGAAAATGTCAGTGTTTAATAATTAAAACACCAAGTTATTAGCATGGACGGGTCTTTTGTGAGCTCTTCATCATCAGTGTGTGGCTCTCGCTTTATCCCAGTTTGTCTGCATCGCCCAGCAAGATTACTGCCGTATTCTCAACCAAGTGGAGAAGAACATGCAGAAGGTTGAAGAGGAAGGGGAGATTGTCATGGTGAAGGAGCACCGAGAACTGGACCGCACCGGGACCAGGAAGGGCCACATCGTCATCAAGGTGAGGTGTACGCACTCTCCTGTGGGGAGTGGCCTCACGGCATCTTCTTTTAAAACATTTTTAAGTGTAATGGTTCTTAAAGATTATCGGTAGTGATCAAAAAAGTCTTACATTTCCTGATGCACAGCAGTTTATTAATTGTGATTATGTTGCTTCCCAGCTCGTTTTATATAGAAGGTTTGAAACCAGGACACTGTATGCAGTTCATTCAAGGTGGTGACCAGGCCTTTTCATTTGTTACAGGGCACCTCGGAAAGGCTAACAATGCATCTGGTGGAGGAACATTCGGTGGTGGATCCAACCTTCATAGAAGATTTCCTGTTGACCTACCGGACTTTCCTTTCTAGCCCGATGGAAGTGGGCAGAAAGTTACTGGAGTGGTTTAATGACCCGACCCTCAGGGATAAGGTCGGCTCTTCAGCATGACACTACTGTATGAACTTACACAGCAGGTTATTTATTGAATATGAGTTCAGAATAACTTGAGAGAACATGAGAATACTTTTTAAACAAAAAATGAATGCACACATTCTTGCTATAGATTTCTAAGTTCAGCCTTGGAAATAAATTTTTTTTCTTTAAATCCAAAAGCCAATAAATCGGTCACCAAATGTTTGAACGTATTCATATTGGAAGCGTGTTACAACATAACCTAACCTGACGGCTGGCTCCGTGGGAGTCTGCGGTCTGTCTCAGGAGGTAGTTTGTGTGTGCCAGCGACGGCCCCGGTGTGCTAGTGAGCAGGGGCAGCCTTTTCGCTGCAGCCAGCCCCGCCCCCGGGCCGGGGTTCCACACCGGTTTCCACTGGTGTGGGCTGTGCTGAGGCTGGACAGGGACACAGGGCACGCAGCAGCCTCGCTTCCCAGTTTCCCACCCGCCTGTTCTCCCAGATCTCCAGGCCTGATACTACTCACTGTCCGTATCCGTTTTGTCCTTTGACCCTTACTTTTTACTTTCTGTCTTTTGTATTAACCTATTTTGGTTTTATTGTATTTTTGCTTTCATTTTGACTTACTTTAAGAATGCTTTGAAAGGGCCAGGGATTTAGCTCAGTGGTTCCGCCGCCTGCCTTGCAGGCGCAAGGACCCGAGTTTGATCCCCAGTACCAAAAAAAAAAAAAGAATGCTTTGAAAATAAAGCAAGATGTTAAGTTAAAAACATCCACAAATTCAACCACCTTCCTTCCTAACAAAGCTCCATTTAAAGTACACATATTTTCAGATGGTCATTTTTTGTGAATAATGCCCTTGTTGAAAGTTTTATTGTTGTTTGTGCACTATTAGGTAAATTGTTTGAAAAGTAGGTATCTTTTATGAAATAACTTAAATCATTAGCACAAAAAAGAAGGCCACTTACCAAAACTGGTTTTTCAGGTGACACGGGTAGTCTTATTGTGGGTGAATAATCACTTCAATGACTTTGAAGGAGACCCTGCAATGACTCGATTTCTAGAAGAATTTGAAAATAATCTGGAAAGAGAGGTAATATTTGTGACTTTTTTAAAGTGCCAGCTCAAGGTTCCTTTTATGACACTTGTCTTAGAACTGATGCCACCCTTTCTGCGTGCTTGCAGAAAATGGGCGGACATCTAAGGCTGCTGAACATTGCCTGTGCCGCCAAAGCCAAAAGAAGACTGATGACGCTGACGAAGCCATCCCGGGAGGCCCCTCTGCCCTTCATCCTGCTCGGAGGCTCTGAGAAGGGCTTTGGGATCTTTGTTGACAGCGTGGATTCAGGCAGCAAAGCCACTGAAGCAGGCTTGAAACGTGGCGATCAGGTATGATGCTCTGAACCCTGACCAAGGGTGAGTTTTAGCATCTTTCTAACCTTCAGTCAGTGGTGACACTGATTTTATAATTTCATTTTTAGATATTAGAAGTAAATGGTCAAAACTTTGAAAATATCCAGCTATCAAAAGCCATGGAAATTCTTAGAAATAACACACATCTATCCATCACTGTGAAAACAAATTTATTTGGTAAGTATTTTTGCATACTTAGATTTTTCTCCTTTTTGGGGGGAGTTATTTTTGCATTTAGATCTCAGTCATGAGAGGAGTCTTCTTTATAAGTAATATTTCAAACATAAAGGTCAAAGTCTAATGAAATACATAAATACAGAATTTATAAGTATGTAATTAGGTCTAAATCAAACTCTGTTTTGAAGATCATAAAATTATTTTTTATCTCTTTGTTTAATGATAAATGAAATCTGTATTCTCTTGGTAAACATTAAAATACCTGTCAGGAGTACATTGCTTTCTTAATTTTACTCTGGTAAAGCAGCATACAAAATAGTTTTTTTATTTTTGGTACTGGGGATCCAACTCAGGACCTTGTGCTTGTGAGGCAGGTGGCGGAACCACTGAGCTAAATCCCCGGCCCCAAAATAGATTCTTGATATCATTGGGAAAGCTGAGTATCTACAGAATTTTAGTGTTGGTACTTGAAATCTGTACTTTTCATTTATTTCTAGGTTCTGTAGTTGCCTCAGCATTGTTCAGATTTCTTGCAGTTGGTGTTTTGTGATGTTTCTGTATCTGTTTATTTTAGTATTTAAAGAACTTCTAACAAGATTGTCAGAAGAGAAAAGAAATGGTGCCCCTCACCTTCCTAAAATTGGAGACATCAAAAAGGCCAGCCGCTACTCCATCCCAGACCTCGCTGTCGATGTAGAGCAGGTGATAGGACTCGAAAAAGTAAACAAGAAGAGTAAAGCCAATACCGTTGGAGGGAGGAACAAGTTAAAAAAGATACTCGACAAGACACGGATCAGTATCTTGCCTCAGAAACCATATAAGTGAGTGTCTGCATAACTTTCGTGCATTATTTTATTGTGATAAAATGGCACGCAAGTACGGTGATGCAGTTTATGTTTGCACGTGAGTCTTCTAAGTATTTCAGGCTTTCGTGGAGAAACTGCTGGAAGCCACCTGAAACAGTTATAGTGCCCTCCACTTGCCTACATCCGGGTTTTGCTAGCCAGTCCAGCATGTCCTCACCTGAACTCCTTGGGAGGTGTCAGTGTTGGCTCTGTGGCCTGCCCCACCTGGCGTTCCCTCTGCTCCGTCCTGGGCCTGTCCTCCTCGGCATCTGCTCTTCACCAGTGGGTCGTTGCCTCTCGCCCTGGCCTGCACGTGCCCTGTCTTCTCGCTGTGTTGTGTGACTGTTGCCAAGACCTCAGTCTTCCGTTCAGCTCTGCAGACGGGGTGCTGAGAGGTTCCTGGGTTTCTTCTGGGTGGCCCCCAGCGGAGCCCGGTGCTGCTCAGGGCCTGGTTCTGGGAGGCGTGAGAGTCGGGCATCACCGGTTCCACACACATGGGTTTGGCTGGACAGGGTAGTGACAGGGAGCAGTTGACACCAGTAAGCTGTTGCGTGTGTGCCAAGTACCCTGTGGGAGGCATTGCAGAGGCGACTTCTTGTCAGGAGCTCAGACTGGGCAAAGCTGCAGTGTTCCTCACACTTGCTTCTTTAGCTTTGTTTCTGTGCTTGCTTGTTTTCATTTTAGTTCTTGAGTCCAGGAGTGTTTTACAAAGCTCAAATACCATCAGCCGTCTGTTTAGATGTTAAGTAACTCAATGCCATGTTCAATTATTGTATGTTCCTTAAAGTACAGTGCTAGAAAAGAAAATACATTGAGAAATACAGGTTAATTTCTTTGATAGTTTAATACTATGTCTAAAGAGAAACTATATAGACATTTGGGATTACATTAAGCATCTTTTTTCTTGCTAAAACTTTCATCCACGGATTAGAGAGATATAATTTAAAACTTACTGTGATGGACTGAGTGTCAGTCTCGTGTTGTCTCCATTGAACTGGTGGTTTTTAAAGAAAACTTCTATAGTAGAACCCTAAGCATAAGTGTGAGAGTGATGGTTTTACTTACAGCTTGCAAAAAAAAATTATGATAAGTTTCTAAGAGTCAGTGGATTAAGACAGCTGGCATTGATAGGAAATAGGAATCGATCTTTAAAGTGACTCTGGATGAGAAACTTTACTAAATGAATGAAAAAACAAATTGCCTACATGCAGAATTATCAGCAACAAAAAGATCTGAGAGTCGTGTTTGACCATGACTTAAGTATGAGCCTTGAAAAGAAGATGAAGCAGCAGGCAGCACGGCCTTGGGAAGTGTGCTGAGAGGTGTGTCACATCCGCCCGGCCCTAGCTCACCCCCGCTGGGGTCGCCAGCAAGGAATTCTGCTCGGGCATGCTCTGTATCACTTTGCTCTCTGTCTCAAAATCTAGGCAAGAGAGGAAAAAAAGAGAATTACCTTGGTTTTAAAACACTGAGGAAACATTTTAAACAAATATATGGCTCACTTAAATATTTTCTCACAAAAATTATTTGAAAAAGTGTATGATGCAATTGAAATGGAAAAAGTAATTATATTTAAAAGTATATAGGATTTGTTAAAGTCTAATAAACTGATTTAATAAGGCCACTAAACTTTCCTAGAAATTAGTATGTGTTAAGGGAGGTCTCTGTGGGTTTTGTTTTCTTTTTTGCTGTGCTAGGGACGGAACCCTGGAAGCCGTGCATTCTAGGCAAGTGTTGTGCCTCTGAGCCACAGTCCAGCCTGTGAAGATAAGCTATTAAACTGTACATTGCAGGCATTGTCAGACGTTAACATGCCCTTGAGGTGTTTTTCCTTACACTGTCAGAGAAGCTCAGATGCAGGGCACCGGCACGCTGGCAGTGATAGGCATGGGAGAGTGATGTGCAGGGGCTGGAGAGAAGGGCCGGGCGCATGCCTGGCAGAATTCAGACTTGGTTTCACTCTCCGGGTGAGTGGAGAGGCAGCCGGCAGCCCGCTCAGCGCCAAGGCCGAGAGCCCACGGTGACGGTGGCGCTCACAGTGGGAGCGTTCTGACGGGCTTGGTAGGAAGCACCCCCCGCCCAGGAGCATCCCGCCTGGGTCACTAGGCAGCAGAGGTACAGGTGTGGAACCCTGAAGCTGACAGGGGCCGGGGAGTCCTCACCGGAGGGGCCACCTGTGCGAGCCCTAGTGGCGGGTGCCAGGTGGCATGTCACCCTTCGCGGCAAAGACTGTAGTTCCTGGCTGTAAGCAGAATTCTACTGCGTGAAGGCTTTTACCTGCGCACAACATTCGTGCTTCAGTCTTTCTGTACTCGCCTGTGTGTACGTAAATAGAAATTCAGCTTTGTGCTGCGCTCATCTCACACTAAAATCATCTTGGTTTACATCTCAATCCTAGGGTAATTTCATTGATTTTTATTTCGAAGAGCTTATAGGAACTAGTTAAAACTATAACCATTTGCTTATAACCTAGTTCTTTTCAGACGCACTATTTTCTGAGACGTTTCGTTGTGGAAACACTTGGTCCTGCAATCTAGAAATAATTTTACCTCTCATTAAATCACATTTCAAGAGTTCTCCACAGCAGCGACTTTTTGTAAATGGAAATGAGTTTGCAGCCATCAGTAATAACCAGTATTTTCCTGGGAACTAAAACGTATAGCTAGAAGTCTTAAACAGGGTTAAAAATGAGTCATTGGATTTCTGTAGCCCTTTTCTTTGATGCTGGGAAATGTCGCCATGCATCATTGGTCTTTTAGGCCCTATAATTAAGAAATAATATCCATGTCAGAGTTTCTTTACATTTAACACCATAATGATCTCATTTCTCTCCCGAAACATTTGTGGATAAAATTAGAGTAGTTTGGATTTTCTCCCTTCTGTTCATTTCACTCAATTTCATTATTTCTTATGGATCAGCTTATAAGACAATTTATCCTTCTGATGCAAAGGCATTGCATGAGTGAGGCTGAATAGATTCTTTGTAATGTGCTTTTTTCTTAAATCCATTCCCATAAGAAACTGAAAATCGTATTTCCTTGAATTCATTTCTGTACTGAGAAGCTACTCTTAATGCTTGTGTTTTGTCTAGTTAAAAAGACAGGTATTGGGGGCCGGGATTTAGCTCTGTAGTTCTGTTGCTGCCTCACAAGCGCAAGGTCCTGAGTTCGATCCCTGGTACCAAAAAAAAAAAAAAAAGACAGGTATTAGAGAAGCATACTGTATACTTAAACAGCAGAGTGAGTTGGGTACACTTCAGCAGTGGTGGCTTTTATAATTTGTAACCAAATTTACTAGTGGCATTTTTTACATTAATTGAAAGCTTAATGGAATATGGCTTATGACTCTGTACCTTGCTGATAATTTTGTGTTCTGATTTTCCTCTTTGTGCAGTGACATCGGGATTGGTCAGTCCCAAGACGACAGCATAGTAGGGCTGCGGCAGACCAAGCATATCCCAGCCGCCTTGCCAGTCAGCGGGACCTTGTCATCCAGCAACCCCGACCTGCTGCAGTCACATCACCGCATTCTGGACTTCAGCGCCACTCCCGGTGAGCGACCAAGACTGCTTTCTGTTGGCAGCGCAACAGTGATGCCACATGGATCTCCTGCTCAGCACCGATGCTATCAGTTGCCAAAATTCAGGATGAACTTGAAATCCCAAATCATCAGAACCAGTTGTTGTCTAATCTGCAAACTATTTTGAGATAGCCGTGGGCCCGTTAGTCTCTCTAGACGTGGTTCTGCTTTGACACAATAACGATAACACATACCTTGCTGTTATTCCAAAGTCGCAGCAAACAAATTATAGTAGGAGGCCTAGGTGAGGTCAACTTTCTGGGCTTTGCAGTATGATAAAGATTAAATTTAGGGCCTGGGATTTAGCTCAGTGGTGCCACACCTGCCTCCCAAGTGCAAGGTGTCCTGAGTTTGATCCCTGGTACTGAAAAAGAAACAAAAACAGATTAAGTTTAAATTTCTTTCTTTGACAGCCACATGATAGTCTTGTGCATGTGCTGTTTGCATTTGTCTGTAGATCATTTAACATTCTGTAGGGCAAAGATATCCTCTTACAACATAGCACATTGATTGAATCTTTAAAGATCTCTAGTAAGGGTGGGGTGAAAGTTTATCATCACCTTCTCAGGAAGATTTTTTTCATAACACCTTGCTTAATGGCACTCCCAAGTATTGAATGCTTTATACTTATGCGCGGCTTTTCTTTTCCTCCAGACTTGCCAGATCAAGTGCTAAGGGTTTTTAAGGCTGATCAGCAAAGCCGGTACATCATGATCAGTAAGGACACCACAGCAAAGGAGGTGGTCATTCAGGGCATCAGGGAGTTTGCCATTACTGCCTCCCCAGATCAGTATTCACTGTGTGAGGTCTCCGTCACACCTGAGGGCGTCATCAAGCAAAGACGACTTCCGGATCAGCTGTCGAAACTTGCTGACAGAATACAGCTGAGTGGAAGGTACGCACGGTCTTGCTTTCCAGCTGTTTTACTCCTTCAAGCCCACAGCAAAGCTGAGGGGTTCTCAGTGACTCAGAACCCTCAGGCTTCCCCACACACGTTGTGAGTTATTGCGTCAGTCACGACCTTTCCCAGTGTGGTCAAGGGCACTGTGACCTGGAAGTTGTCACTGTCAGCTGACACATGGGCCCTGACTCTTAGGTTCGCCCTGGGGAGTCCCTGGCTGACGGCTCAGTAGACTGGCTTGGGTGGTGTCTCCACCTGAGCCTGGGTGTGCCCATGCAGTGCCCCGTGCTCCTGCACACCGTGTGGGGACACTCGGGATGCCTGTGGCGGCCGCTGTGTGTCGCTGTACGGCACCATGGAGAACACCTCTTCGCCCCAGAACAGACTTGCGAGACTGCAGGGCGGGGCCCATCTCCCGGTCTTGGAAGCACCTTTGTTGCAGTGCGTTAGGCGTCGCTCCCGGCAGTCGTGTCTGGTGACGGGGATGTATACTTTTACCTTAAAGCACAAATCATCGAAAGGCCAAAAGCAGTTAAGTTTTGTCTCTCACATAATGATTGGATTCTGCACTTACTGAAAATTAAGTAGTCCCCTAAATAATTTTTTAAAAAATGTCTCATTTTATGGAGCGTTCCATTGTACGTGACTGTCATGTAATAGAGCCAGACTGGGATTTAATTCATTCAGAGCGTGTGTTTTCTTGCTGTCAGCTGTAACTTTGCTACTCTTCACTTCTATTTCCAACCCTGGCCTTGGCAGACAGTTTTATTTGAGGAGGTTGGGTTTTCTCAGTTCGTTTGAATGTAATTGACGACTCTGTAGTCAGATGGCGTTCTGCAGTTCTCCCTGAGCTGCAGATTTGTGCCTCATGTTGATTGTCCAAGAGAACTGCAGACAGGTCTCGCCTTGGGGTCCGTGAGTAATCTCCGTGGAGAGCGTGGCCCTGGTGGGTGTGGAGGGCTGAGGTGTGTGCTCTGTCACGGAGGTTTTGTGAAATGCGCAGGAGCGGTTTAACAGGACCTCTTGGTGCTGCTTAGGCTTTATGCCTGACGCCTTTCTGTTTTTCACAGGTATTATCTGAAAAACAACATGGAAACAGAGACTCTTTGCTCAGACGAGGATGCGCAGGAGTTGCTCCGAGAGAGTCAGATTTCCCTGCTTCAGCTCAGCACTGTGGAAGTTGCCACACAGCTCTCCATGAGGAACTTTGAGCTCTTCCGAAATATCGAGCCTACCGAATACATAGATGATTTGTTTAAACTCAAGTCAAAGACCAGCTGTGCCAACCTAAAGAAGTTCGAGGAAGTCATCAACCAGGAAACCTTTTGGGTGGCCTCTGAGATTCTTCGAGAGACAAACCAGCTGAAGAGGATGAAGATCATTAAGCATTTCATCAAGATAGCGCTGCACTGCAGGGAGTGCAAGAACTTCAACTCCATGTTTGCGATCATCAGGTGAGAGCGGATCTGGCAGCTGGCGCAAGTCCCTCTTCACATAGAGGTGCTTCAGCCGCTCTGTCCAGGAAAGCCACATAAATACGGTGTTTGTAACTGACTCGCTCCGGGCAGTGCTGGGGATTCAGCCAGGCCTCACACGTGCCAGGCTAGAATTGACTCGAAACAATGATGCTTACTTTAAAATATCCCATGTGCTGATTTGGATTAGTGGAGCCTATGTCTACCACTTCTCTCTCTTTTTTTAACTCTGGCTTTGGGCAAACTATTTGAACTTCTCTGAACATCAGCTTATTTCTCAGTAAAATAGTAATAACTCAGAGAGTTATCAAGAAGGTTCAGTGACACAGTGTGTGTGAACTTCCACCATACAGCACAAGGCAGATGCCCAATAAATGTTAATTTTCTTCCCTTTTAAATGCTGAGATTGATCCGGAAAGAAAATACAAATAGGAGCAGTGAGTCAGGTTGATATTGGAGGTAATTATTAATCACTTCTCTGCCTAGAGTTTGATATACTCTAATGACTGCTGTGGCTTTTGTTTTACAACTTTAAAGCTCTAGAATATTTGCCCGGTCTGTTTTGTCAGATACCTGCTGTGAGCCACACGCTGCTGTGTGTGTGGAGCAGGAACAGGACTTGGCAGTGGTTTGCCGACAGTGCGTCGGTCATCCTTCTGCTGAGAGTGATCTTGCAGCCTTCAGCCTATGCTTGGTTAGCCCATTGCTCTTGGGCCTGTGGCGAGGCATGCAGCATTGTGCAGACACGTGGCGGAGCATGGCTGTCCCCGTCCCTGCAGGGAGGTGCAGTGACTTGGAACTGAGACTCACTCTCCAGTCCTTGCCTTGTATAGGCCGTTCCACAGCTGCAGCTAGCACCACAGGCTGGGCCTTTAACACATGGAACCCAAGCCCTAGCGGACAGTAACCAGACCAGGGAGGTGGGATGGGAAGCAGAGTGTAGCTCTGACTGCACCCTGACCCTGCTTCCTCTGCCATTTTCCTTTCCCAGGATTGTCATGAAGCGTCTTACGCATCATTCTATGTATGGCTGTGCATATAGCCACTGAGGCAGAAGTTATGTGCCAATAAACAAACAGTACCCTGCTTTACCTCATCTCAGGAGGGGTCATTTGACTCTATCCCACTTTTCTTTTTCTTCTGTCAGTGGCCTGAACCTGGCACCAGTGGCAAGACTGCGGACTACCTGGGAAAAACTTCCCAATAAGTACGAAAAGCTATTTCAGGATCTCCAAGACCTGTTTGATCCTTCCAGAAACATGGCAAAATACCGCAACGTCCTCAACAGTCAGAACCTGCAGCCTCCCATCATCCCCCTGTTCCCAGTCATCAAGAAGGACCTCACATTCCTCCATGAGGGTGAGCACAGGTGCAGAGTTTCTGCCTGCTCTTGTGGCAGAAGCATAGAATCAGGGCCACGTGATTTCCCTTTTCTCCTCTGCCAAATTGCAGGAAATGACTCGAAAGTTGATGGGCTGGTCAACTTTGAGAAGCTCAGGATGATTGCAAAGGAAATCCGTCATGTTGGCCGAATGGCTTCGGTGAACATGGACCCGGCCCTCATGTTCAGGACTCGGTGAGTGGGCTGTCCGGCGGGGCCTGTGGGGCTAGAGAGGCCATGTGGAAAGCTTGCCCTTAAATGCGAAAGGTTCAAATGTTTCTCATGGCCATATGGCAGATAGTACTTTATGTCAAGAATGGCCATCGAGCTTCACTCTGAAGTAAATGGCTCATTTGGCACGAGGTGCACTTTGACTACTAGTTACAACAGTTAGTCCTGTGGGCATTTTTCGTATATCCTTAGTCACAGGTATTTCTTTACTGCTTCTGAGAACACTGACTTGTAGAGTTATATCCCCTGAGCGGTTGTATAAACTGCAAGTTGTAAGTGTCCCAAACAACACTGTCTCCATAGTGATGAGTTCAGTGAAAGAGGCCAACCTAGCCTGTCTCCTGGTAGAACAAAACCTTTACCTTCGTCCTCTGAGCCAGAGCAGGTGTTCCTGGTGAGGTGGTGGTCGGTGTCGTGTGTGGGCTGCTAGGGCTGCTAGTGGGAAGCCCGGTGCTTTCTCTCTGAGCTTGTGACCTCTCTCTCTCTGCACCACGCTCCAATCTCCTCGGCCCTCCCTCTCAGGAAGAAGAAGTGGCGCAGTCTGGGGTAAGTGGGGAACCGCGGGCCGCACTCAGGCCATCCTGCCTAGCCTTGCATCCGTCTTGGCCGTGCCTCCCGGCGCTCTGCATCTTCTGTCTTGCTGCTCTCGCTGTGGCAGAGCTTCAGAGGGCGAGCCGCTTCAGCTTTAATCTGGGGCTTTCGCTTTCGAAGTCATGAACCGCCAGCGCTTCGAAATGATTGGTGCCTCTTGTGGGCGCTGAGGCCGGCCATTCCTGAGCCCTCAGAAGGAGTATACCTCCGGGTGATTTGTGTCTCGAAAAGTGAGAAAAGCCTGGCTGGGGTTATTAGAAAGGAAAGCTGTGCAGTTAAAATGCTGTTGCACAGACGTTTAGAAGTAAATATGAAAGGTGCCCCCAGGTGTTAAAGCCAAATTTGTTACAGCTCAACTAACTACTGTTTTCATTCTGTATAAACCAATCCTTGTTAAAAATAATTCTTAACAATTCATGTGCTAAGTAGTTTCCATATGCAGAGGTTTATTTTGCATGACTGCAGTATTAACAGATTGACCATATTACTTAAATCCTACCACCTGCCCAAGGAGCAAGAAACTAATTGTCAACACCGTAGCTGATTCCCTTCAGCCTGGAGACTCCTCTTGTAGAGAAGTCAGTTTAACGTGGCAAACCCCAGTGATTAGCACTGTTTTCTTGCATGAGCTGTGTATAGCATTCTTGTTTGCTGGCTTCTGTGAGAGAACCTGGATGCTCTACAGAGATGAAAGGCAGAATTTCTTAGTTGGAGCAGAACAGGCGCCAGATTGTCCATTTCCGTCTGCATTGCGCGTCGCTCTTCTGTGAGCACAAGTTGCAGTCTGGTCCCGTGTTCCTCGGAGCGGGGACCCCCGGATGCCGCATGTGACCGGGCCTGTGGCTGCGCGCAGGGCGTCCCCGTGCCAGAGTGAGTCGCTGTCCTCTTTGCTCCGCCCCCAGGTCCCTCAGCCAGGGGAGCGCGAACGCGGCAGTGCTGGACGTGGCGCAGACGGGCGGGCACAAGAAGCGGGTGCGCCGCAGCTCCTTCCTCAACGCCAAGAAGCTCTACGAAGACGCGCAGATGGCCCGCAGGGTGAAGCAGTACCTGTGCAGCCTGCAGCTGGAGCTGGACGAGGACAGCCTGCAGACGCTGTCGCTGCAGTGCGAGCCGGCCACCAGCACATGTGAGTTCTCGGGGTGGCTGCCGGGCCTCCCGGGCACCGCTGCCCCCGCACCGAGGTGCGGGTGGTGACTGGCAGGCGTGGCGCACGGGGGCAGGGGGCAGGCGCCCGGCGGGGCCCTCGTGTCCAGCCGAGGTAGTGTGCGGGACACGGGCGCGCGTGCTCTCAGAGCTGCTCCTGGAGCTGCGCCCCTCAGGCCGGCAGCCAAGTCAGGCGCACGCACGGCAGGCACCCCGCACACGGTCCGGTTTAAAGACTGTCCGGACTTCCCACCCGCCGCTCCACGTGCGGCCCGGCGTTTGGGGACAGTTCCCGCGCAGCTTGTTGGAGAGCCCAGGGTCCTTTTTGTGCACCACGCCGCCTTTATGCAGGACTGTAACCGTTGCTGTACTGTGCAGCGCACTACCTCAGCTTCATGTTCCGTTCTGCCTTGCAGGACCGTATGCGAGAGCTTTGCTAATAAAAGCCCGTTATCAAGTTGAGTTTCCTTTGACGTTTCTTTGTTCTGAGCATTGTAGATACTGTGTGCAGTTCCTGATTTAGTGGCCAAGCCACATCACGCCCGAGCTGCAGGACCAGAACTCGGGCGTTAAACGAGGGGCGTCTGTGTAGGTCCACAGCCTTTAAAACCCCGGCCAGACTGTGAGGCGGGCAGGTCCTTGCAGTTGGGAGGCTGAGAGGGGAGGATTGCCTGAGTGCAGAAGTTCAGGACAGGACGGGCAACATGGTGAGACCTGGGTCTTAAAAATGAAAACTAGGGGGGGCGGGGATTTAGCTCAGCGGTGCCGCCTGCCTCAAAAGTGCAAGGTCCCGAGTTCGATCCCCGGTACCAAAAAAATTTTTTTAATTTAAAAAATAAAAATAAAAATGGAAACTATGGGACTGGGATATAGTAACACAGTATCTGCCATCTCAATCCCCAGTACTGCAAATAAAAAATAAATAAACCTAAAGGTTCATAAAAATCTAGCTAGGCTAAAAGTGGTGGTTTTGTTTTATCTGTGCCTCTGCTTGTCCCCAGAGACACCCCCATCTAGGGTTTGGGTCTCCATGGGCAGGTGTCAAGGTGCAGGCTGTGGGTTCTAGGCCTTGGCTGACCTGAAGCGCAACCCCAGTATGACATTTGCCTGGGGCCCGCGAGGCCTTGTGTCACGGGGAGAGCTCAGCCTGAGCGCCCCCTCACTAGCAGTGACGCTCGGCAAGTGGCTTGAGTTTCCTGGCCTCCTGCTTGGGAACGTGTGGGCTGCAGAAGGCCCACGCATGGCTTCGTTCTGCATGTTAGGCTCTGCAGAGACGGCTCTGAACGGCCCTGCTAACCGTTTCCATCTGGCTGCCACGCAGTCACCCGCAGCACACTCAGCGTGAGCTGTTACTTGGCTGCTGTTTGCCTGCAGAGACAGTTCTCCGCCCCAGGAGACTCTGATAATGAATAGATTGCAGTTAGCATTTATTAGGTTAAAACTCACCTATGCCAGAGTTTTGACTGTTTTAGAATGATAAATCCTCATGATCTTGCTTTTTACATACATCCACATAACATTGAATTATCTACATTTTTGTCTTATTATTAATTTGGTGTTTAACAGTATAATCATCATTCGAGATTGCTAATTTCATAAATACCTTTATCCTGCCATGCCGCTCATATTTTCTGTAACAAGGGTTTTCCTCCTAATTTCTGTCTTTTATCATTTTTGGCTGTTTCTGTTTTTGTTTTTTGAGACAGGGTCTCACTATGTAGCCCAGGCTGGCCTCGAACTCCCTGTGATCCTCCTGCCTCAGCCTCCCCAGTGCTGGGATTATAGACATGCATCTCTATACCTGGCAGTTTCTTTTATAAGATGTGTATTTTAGTATTCTAACTGTAGGACATGCTCGTGCAGTTCTAAAATTACCTCCTACATAGCTACAAACACCTTAAATTCTTTGTTCTGTTTCCAAACCAAACACTTCTCAGTGCCTAAGAATCCTGGTGACAAAAAGCCTGCCAAGTCCGAGACCTCCCCGGTGGCGCCGAGGGCCGGGCCGCAGCAGAAAGCGCAGCCGCAGCCCCCGCAGCCGCAGGCTGTGCACAAGGTCAGCCAGGGCCTGCAGGTGCCTGCCGTGTCCCTCTACCCCTCCCGGAAGAAGGTGCCCGTCAAGGACCTCCCGCCCTTCGGTGAGTGCCGCCTTAGCTTTCCTGCTCGGCGTGTCACTGCTGTGTTTCAGATTGGAGGAAAAAATGGGTATTTTGGTTAACTTTGCCAGATATACTTGAGTTTCTCTGTGATTGCTTTCTCCTAATAAAATATAATCAGCAAGCTAAACTACTTTCGCCAGCGAGAGGGGTCTTTTTATATAAACAGAATATCATTTAATCACATTCATCTGTCACAGCAAGGTGAGGGGTAAGATGGAGAGGCTTTTGATGTCTGAACTTAATGTTTAGTAAGTACAGCAGTTTTTCATAGACATTGTTTAAATTATTTTCGCTTCATTTTCAGCGAGTTGCAGAAATGTAGAAAGAGTATTTTTTTTTTGGTACCGGGGATCAAACTTGGCTCCTTGTGCTTGCACGGCAGGCAGCGAAACCACTGAGCTAAATCCCCAGCCAGGAAGAGTATTTTTAAGTTAAATGATTTGTGTGGAGGTGAGTTCTTTTAATGTTAGCAATGCTGGGAGTCGAACCCAGGGCCTTACACATATTAAGCATGGGAGCAAACTCTTGCTTGCCGAGTTCACTGAGTCTGTAAGTTAGAAAGACAGATAAAGCTTGCATGTTAACGAACTCATGTTTCATCTTTCTCCTTAAAAATAATCCATTTACTGGTTTACGCTCTTAATGTAAATGTACAATGAAGCAGTTTTTAATAAAAGTACTGACTTTCATCTGCATGTATGTGGGAGGAGAGAATGTTCGTGAAATAAGTGCACAGCAGGGAACTCAGCGTGGTGCAGTGGGCGAGGCCGGCAGGCTGCCCGCCGCTCCGTGGGGTGTAGTCACCCTGGGCGTCCTGGCAGACACTGGCTGCCCACCGTGTGCGGCACGGAGCCCTCCCCCGAGTGTGCCTGCAGATGCCCGCGGTCCCCGCCCTGCCACAGGCAGTGACGCCTGCGCCTCTGTCCCTGTGCCGGGCCCCTCTGGCCCCCACACCCTGGCCTCTGCCTCTGCCTCTGCCGTGTGTGGGAAGTCACCCGTCATCCTTTTCGCTGAAGAACGGCCCGTAGGCTCTAGTCAGCAAAATGCAGGTGTGCTCGGCAGTCACACTGTACAAAGTACTAACGCATCGGTCCTGAGAGGTCCCCCGATTCCTGGAGTCCTTTCATGCATCCCTCCCTCTGTGACAGCACCCCTGGCAGCACTGCTGAAGGGTCCAACGTGGTTTTCCAAGGCTTAGCATCTTCACACCCCTCTGCACTGTCTGAAAGACAGCTCCTCCTGAATGTGTGAAATGCTAGTCTTGGAAGGAAGGAAGCTGTTTCACAATCAAAACCCTTCGTGTGGCTTCAGCGTGCTTGGTATTTTCATGCACCCTATGTCTATTAGTATTTTAGCATACAGGGTATTGCTTTCAAAGTGATTTTTTTTCCCCAAAAGATCCTCTTAAAACATTAGACCTCTTACATGAGTGAGGTGCTAGCAGTCAGTTGGGATCGTTTCAGATGGCCTTGCCTTTCTGGGACCCTCTGTTCTTAAGCTCTGAGGTAGTTGAGAATGCTTCCCAAGACTAGGAGGAGCACTGTAGTGTTCTCCTTACTTCCGAGGAATAGCAGGGCTTGTTCTGTGTGGACCCATGGAGTTTTCTGTCTCCCTCACCCGCTGGACCCTCCTGTCTCCTTCCGCCCGGGACCGCCTTCCTGGCCCCTGTGACAGTTGCTGGCGTCTCCCCTGCCTTCTCCCCGTGTCTGTTTACTTGACTGTGTTACTGACAGGGACCCCCTAGCGCTCTCGTATCCTCCACTCCTAATTGGCTCCTTTGCGTTTCTCCCATTGTCCCCTTTGCCCAGAGCTGACCTGTCCAGTAGTTTCCAACCCAAACTTGAGCTCAAGTGATTGGAGTTGAAATTAGCTGTGCCGCTGAGCCTTGGATTCAGATGTTCACATTGTCTGTTTTTGCTTTGTTCTTGCCAAACACAGTGTTAAATAAATATGGCAACAGAAGTTTGGAGTCTAAAGTAGGATATCAAAAGCAACCTGTTTCTAGCCTCCAGAGTCAGAAACCAAAGGGCGGGCCGGCACCTTATGCCTTCTTAATCTCAGTTTATATCCAGAAGTGCACAAAGAACAATTCAGTTTGTCATAAATATGTTGAAACAGTAAAAGTGTATCTTAACACAACATATTTTTTAGTCATTCTTTTCAGTCTTAAAAATACACACATAGGGCCGGGGATTTAGCTCAGTGGTGCCACCGCCTGCCCTGCAAGTGCAGGGACCTGAGTTCCATCCCTGGTACCCCCAAAAAAACCACATATAAATTATTTGCTTGTCTTTATAGGCATAAACTCTCCACAAGCTTTAAAGAAAATCCTCTCGCTGTCTGAGGAAGGCAGTCTGGAGCGGCACAGGAAGCAGGCTGAAGACGCGGGGTGCAGTGTGTCCTCTCAGCTGCCCTCGCCACCCGCCTCTCCACAGAGCTCCCCGCGGAAAGGTACGGGACTGCTGGGTTCAGTTACGTCAGTTCCCAGGTTACTCATCTAAAATGATTTCATGATGTTCAGTGGACTTTCCCCCCCCGGTTTATGCATTTGGAAGAATCTTTGTATTTCTTTTCAGTATTACAAAAGGATAGTGTCATATTTATAACTTACAGTGTTTTTTAATTCATTTGCCTTCTTTTTCTTTTGGTACCTGGGATCGAGCTCAGGACCTTGCGCTTGCTTGCGAGGCACATGGCAGCACCACTGAGCTAAATCCCTGGCCCCCATTTGCCTTTTGTTGATCCTAAGTGTGGAAAGGCTTCTTTTTATATTAAAATTTACTCTAGCCAAATGTGATTGTGTAACATCAACACAGAGAAGAGAACTTCGTAAACATAATGTTCCTGATTTATTTTTCCGTTGTATTGACACGGAAGAGGCTTCGTTGCCCTCTTATGCCGATGCTCTCCATGCTGAAGCAGCCACGCGTCTCTCCTGTGGCCCCGCCTTGCACTGTGGCCATCCGAGGGCACGGTGTGTTTCCCTAGCCCAGCACCCAAGCGCTCAGGCTTATTGTTTATTTTGCGATAAATGGCATTGTAAAAATTTACAGTGTACATGGTCGTATCAAATCATTTTTAACTAACGTGAGATCCTTAGTAATATAGAAAAGAAGTGAGGGCTGAGAAAGCATACTTGGATTCTTTTTTTTTTTTCCATTAAAAATAGCAAGGTACCAGGTACATTGCCACACAGCTATAATCCTAGCTACTCGAAGGCTGAGGCAGAGGGTTGGAGGGTAGTCAGCAACTTGAGCAACTTAGTGCAAACCTTCCTGAAAACAAAAAATATACTGTATTTGAAAGAGCTGGGGATGTAGGTTGGTGGGAGAGCAGTCCTGGCTTCAGTCCCCAGTACCACCAAAAAAACAAAGATATTTCGAGGTGAACTGTTCGGTGCCACACTCAGAATCCTACAGATTGGAATACGACTACTCACTCTGCAGTTTGAAAGAATGTGTGCACTGTCTAGCTGGGCCTGGTGGTGCTCGTTTGCAATGATGGTCCTGGCACGCGCGAGGCCACCGCAGGAGGATCACTGCCAGTTTGAGGCCAGCCCGGGATACACAGAGAGACTCTGTCTCAAAAAACAAAAGAATTAAATTTATACTTTTTAATCCTGATGAGTTTTTTTGGGGGGTGCTGGGCTGGAACCCAGGGTGCGAGCTAGGCAAATGCTGTACTGCTGAGCCCTGCCCCAGCCTGGCTTCTTTGTTGTAAACCAAGGACTGTGGTAGTGTCGTTCATAGCGAGTGAAGCTAAGAGTAGTGAAGTGGTTCGGGAGGCCCACGCCTTTTCCCAGCGCGTGCGTGTGTGCATGCATGTGTGCGTGTGTGTGTGTGCGTTTGTGTGCATGTGTGTGTGCGTGTTCATTCCCTCACCTCGGATTAAGGAATCTACACTTCACGAGGACAACATTTTCATCTTCCAGTGGGCGCTCCCGCTTCTGGGGTGGCACCCACATGGCTACTTGGGCTGTGTGCGGGACTTGGTTCCGCGTCATCGCTGCCATCTCTGCAGGTTTCGCGCTGGGCCCCAGCAGCACGGTGGACAACCTGTCCGATTCGGGCCACAGCGAGGTCTCTTCGCGGTCCAGCATCGTCAGCAACGCGTCCTTTGACTCGGTGCCCGCAGCGCTGCAGGAGGAGCGGCGCCAGAGGCACTCCGTGAGCATCGTGGAGAGCGGCGCGGGCGCGGGCAGGCCGGAGCGGCGGGCGGCGCTGGAGCCGGACCAGTACAGCCTGGGGTGGGTCGCTGGCCGCGTCCTGTCGCGAGCGTGCCCTGCGTGGCACAGCTGTGTCCGTTGCGCTTGGCGCCGGTGGCACGCAGCGCACACCGTCCTGCACCGAGGCGGGCCTCCGGTGTGTGTGCGGCCCTCACTCGGCCCCTGCCGTGCCCGGGGGAGGGAAAGCAGCCTCTGGGAGGCAGCGGCACCTAACGTGGCGCGCTTCTCTGTCCTGCCGTCTGACCGCTCAGGTCCTACGCAGCCGCGCCTGAGAGCCGGGGCTTGTACACCGCAGCGACCGTGATCTCCTCTCCGAGCACCGAGGAGCTTTCCCAGGACCAGGGGGACCGCGCGTCCCTGGACGCCGCCGACAGCGGCCGCGGGAGCTGGACATCGTGCTCCAGCGGCTCCCACGACAACATCCAGACCATCCCACACCAGCGCAGCTGGGAGACGCTCCCGTTCGGGCATGCGCACGCGCACTTCGATTACTCCGGGGACCCCACAGGCCTGTGGGCCGCCAGCGGCCACGCGGACCAAGTGATGTTTTCTGATCATAGCACAAAGTACAGCAGGCAGAGTCAAAGCAGGGAGAGTCTGGAGCAAGCCCAGTCCCGGGCGAGCTGGGCCTCCACGGGCTACTGGGGCGAGGACTCAGAAGGAGACACGGGCACAATCAAGCGGAGGGGTGGGAAGGACGTTTCCCTGGAAGCCGAGAGCAGCGGGCTGGCGTCTGTGGCAGCGGAGGAGACCAGGCCCGGGCCCCTGCCTGCCCGCGTTGCTGCAGCCCCGAGCGCTGGCAAGGGGTTGGTCGGTAAGTCTGGGACGGGCTCGGTGTGGCGCTCAGGTCAGACGCTGACGCGGACGGCAGCGGTGCGCGGGCGTTTGGGCTGCTGCTGGCTAGAGCCCAGGTCTGTGTCGGCGCGTAGGGAGCGTGGAAGGAGCGCTGGCTTTCAGGGGCAGCCGTGGGCTTAGAGATACTTCCTAGTCTGATGTTTTTCTTATAATCTGAAAATAACCAGGGTGGATGCCCAGGCTTCACAGAGGAAGCATTTGCCTTTCATTGAAACTTTGAAGTATTTTGTTCCCTTGAATGATACTTGGCTCTTTAGCCTTCGCGTGCTAAACATCTGCATCGATGGCTGTCCTGTGGATGCGCTTGTGCGCTAGACGGACTCTTCTGCACGCGCGTGTGCGAGGGAGCGGGTGTCCGTGCGTGGGGAGGAGGTCAGGCAGGCGGGGTTGGGGTCCGACTTGTCACTCGTTCCCGGCTTTGTGACACGACTCTGCCTGTTCCACCTGTGGCATGCGCTTCCTAGCTCCTGCTTGACGGAGCTGGCGTAGGACCGAAAGGCCCATGAGCGGCGCCCGCAATGCCAGGCCAGCGCGCAGGGGGACCCGGAAGGTGCCGCTGCCTCTGGTAGAAAGGCCCCGTGTTCCCTCGGCCTTAAACCGTGGAAAACAGATTTCCAGGGCATGTTTGACCACTGTCATTGAACTGTGAGGATAGAATATAGGGTAGAAGGAGACGTTGTGAAATATTATGACAAGATTCACTTTACTTAATGGGGATTTGCAAGCAGATTAATGGAGAAATTTGGTTATTTGGTTTTGGTTTTGGTTTGGTTTGGTTTTGAGACAGAGTCTTGCTGTGTGGTTCAGGCTGACCTTCGATTCCCTGAGATCCTCCTGCCTCGGCATGTGCCAGCACGGCCAGCTAAGAAACTGTGGTTATGTTGCCATGTGAACAGTCACACGTAGGTGATAAATGTGATATCCTTCTACAGTGAATACGGAGATAACAGTTGAACATACTCTTAGGTTGATCTTTTTAAAGCACTTTCTGTTAAACTGTCAGAACTGTTGTGAAGAAAGGATGAATTTTTAGTTCCTAACATTTGAGCTAGAAAGTTCAGGAACACAAAATTTTAGTTTTATTTTCTCTCAGAAATTCCATGTCGTTCATCAACATTAATAAAAGGCTTTGCAGAGAAAGAAACACCTTACAGTTTTAGGGTCAAAAAGATTCTGTGTTGTGCTGCCTTTTCAAATTTGTTTTAATGCCGTTTCCCAAAGAGCCCGCGGGGAGGTGAGGCACTGACCCTGGCCGGTGCAGGTAAGGCCGGCAGGTGCCCTCTCCCCCTGCCACCCGGTCCCCTCTGTTGCAGCGCGCAAGGAGGGCCGGTACCGGGAGCCGCCGCCGACGCCGCCGGGCTACGTGGGCATCCCGATCGCCGACTTCGAGGGCCCGCCCCCGGCGCGGAGGCCCCCCGACTACACCGTGGCGCTGCAGCGCTCGCGCATGGTGGCGCGGCCCGCCGAGGCCGGGAGCTCCACGCCGGGTGGCAGGGGTGGCAGGCCACAGTGGCACCGGCCCAGCGAGGCCGACCCGCGCCCCTCGCCCTGCCCGGCCCAGGCCTTCTCGGCCGAGGAGGACGGTAGGTGGTGGGGTGAGGTGGCTGGGCTCCTGCTGCCCCGTGGCCCCGGTGGCCGAGGGGTCACGCGGTGGGGATGAAGCGCCCGGCCCAGCCGGTGCTTCTTCCCTAACCCTTAGTGGAGCAAGTAGTCCGTGGCCCCATTTGAAGGATAAGTAGAAAAACCTCAAAGTTGTGTGGTTCTCAAGAATGTGGAGAGACAGTGTGAGCTGTAAAATGGGTGGCTAAGTTTTCTGCGGAAACATTATTGGGCAGTGAAAGATAAATAGACCCACGCATTCCTGCAACTTCATTCCCAGGTTGGGTGGATGCAGCAGGCCCTGCTCACTGAGCTGTGCGCCAGTCTTCACTCAGTCATGCCTTCATCTTTGGGACAGGTTCCAGGTTGCCTGTGCTGAGCTGGAACTTGCTATCCTCCTGGCTCGGCCTCCTGAGTGCTGGGATTACAGGCTGCACCAGCACACCCAGCTCAAAATGTGCTCATAATCTGGCACTCACAGATAACCATTTTTAGGTATCTTTGTAATGTGTATAGCGGTATTATACAAACAGCACGTGCTATTTTATAACTTTCTTGGTGAATTTCTATGGGAATGGCTCTCCAGTCAAACACAAATGTAAATATTTGAGTATCATGTGTATCTATTTGAAGATACACGTGTGTCTGATTTTAAACATTTTAAATTGTTGAGCGTTGCCTAGAAGAGACAAGGACCCTAACTGGGCTGGCCCCTGCATGTGGCCATCCTCCCTCTCGCTGGCTTACTGACGCCCGTTCTCTCCCTCGCCACCTTGCCTTGCAGAGGAGGAGCAGGTGTCCGCTGTGTGAGGCCCGGGCTGCAGACAGAGCCACCCAGAGCAGGAGGCCACGTCCCTGACTGGAGCCTGAGACTCGCGCAGGCCTGCAATAGCGGGCCAGTTTACCCCCTTCTCTGCCCTAAAGCAGCATGGGGCTTCTCTTCCCTCCTCCTCTCCCCTTTGCATGTGAAATACTGTGAAGAACTTGCCCTGGCACCTGGAGACTTTGTTGCTTGAAATGCACAGTGCAGCAGTCCCCGGGCGCCCACTGCAGCTGCCGTCACGTCACACGCTGCCCTTCCAGACCCCAGGATCCTCGCTGCCACAGGACTCACTCCGCCGCACTCAGCAGTGCCTGGACGGGTGTTAGCAGTCTTCCTTTGAGATTCAATCCAGTCCCAGCACTTGGGCTCACTGGGGACAATGAGAAAGCTAGCCATTGAACTAGCTGGGCCTTTAACCCACCACCGAGACAAAGAAACAGCGAAATCCTTTGAGTAGAGTGCTTGTCCACTTGTTTACAAAGCCCTTTTTTAAAAAAATTAGTTTAAAGATTATGTTCGAAGAGTAAATGTTATATCCACTTAATGAGTACAGTATTATTTTTGAACCTTAAGCAGGGTCGCCAGCCTGGGTTTCCACACAATCCAGATATGCCTGACAGGGTGTGGCCGCACCAAGAGGAGGGGCCCTGGCCCTCTTTCCAAGTGCCCGGCCCGGAAGTGTGAGAGAAGCCAGTCTCCGGGCCCTGCTGCCGGCCACTCCCCATGGGGGCACGACCATGGTCACACGCTTTGCACTTGGCCAGGGGAGAGACCCGTGCTCTGTCCTGCCCGAGCCTGACAGAGGCAGCCCACTGAGTCAGATGGCAACCCCATTTTTAAGTTATATTTCTTTGATTTTTGTTAATTTAGAGCTTTAGAGTTTTTTGTTTTGTCTCTTCAAAGAACCATTTATAACTGGATAGCATTGCAGTGAACACAGCTTGGGCTGCTGGAGCCAGTGCCAGCTGTGGATACTGCTCTCTCACGACAGCCGCCCTTCCTGAGCTGGCATTAGGCTTGGTGGGAGAGCACCCTGGCTGGAGATGCCTGCCAGCCGTTGCAAGGTGGGCACCTCCCAGCGGCCGTGGGCGCTGCGTGGAGAGAAGCCTGAGTGTAGCAAGCGTCTGCTCACAGCTGCTATGAACCCTGAGGACTGAAAGTGACCTTCCTCTCCACTTGTGTGTGGTTTTTGCACAGACTCCGGAAGTGAAGGCTGCCAATCCGAGTAGTACTCAGATGTGAGGAACTGCTGGTCTTGGATTTTTTCCATTAAATTCAGCTGATCATATTGATCAGTAGATAAAAGTAAATAGCTTCAAATTTTAAAAGTCAAATTGCAGTGTTTTTTCACTGTATCCAACAATGTCAGTGCTTTATTTAATAATTATCATGGCATTTGTCTACTTATATATTACATTGTCAATTATACATTTGTAATTTTACATGTAATATGCATTATTTGCCAGTTTTATTATATAGGCTATGGACCTCATGTGCATATAGAAAGACAGCAATCTAGCTCTACCACAAGTTGCACAAATGTTATCTGAACATTAAGTAATTGTAGAACATAGGACTGCTAACTTCAGTTCACTCTGTGATGTCAAGTGCAGAATGTACAATTAACTGGTGATTTCCTCATACTTTTGATACTACTTGTACCTGTATGTCTTTTAGAAAGACATTGGTGGAGTCTGTATCCCTTTTGTATTTTTAATACAATAATTGTACATATTGGTTATATTTTTGTTGAAGATGGTAGAAATGTACTATGTTTATGCCTCTACATCCAGTTTGTACAAGCTGGAAAATAAATAAATATAACAGAAAGCCTTGCCTATATTCTCAGTGAATCGTGCATGCTTTTTATTCCTGCAGTGAGACAGGCCTCTGGTCACACTGCTGCAACATTCCTGGGAGCAAAGGGACATGGCCGCTCGGCTGGGCAGGAACTCCTGAGTTGTTTCCTTTAGGTCGCTGTCTGCAGAGCCCAGGAAACACTATTAGTGTTAGCACCAGCCAGACCTGGTTCAGCTTCTGCAGTGCTGCTTGCGGATCAGTGAAATCTCAGTGTATCTGCATGACACTCATCTCTGCCCCTCCACACAAAAGTCCCTAGGGCAGAGTATCTGGATTGTTGGTGTGCATGCTGAGAACCGGCCTCCGAGAATTTACCTGGCGTTCAAGGTCACGGTCACCGAGTTAAGAGTACCAGTGAACTACTGGCTGTGGACTTCTAGAGTACATAATAACGGCCGATCTGGGTTTTCTGTCTTTTTCCCCTGTTCCAGGGCTCAAACCCTGGGCCTTGTGCACACTGGGCAAGTGTTCTATCACTGAGTGGCACCTGGGTCTCCATGAGTCCTCACGGGCGCCGAGTCTGAACTTCATGCAGACCTTGGAGAGGGCTCTTGGATTCCGAGCGGTGAAGGTGAGTGGAGTGGACAGCTGCTGATGCACCGCACCACACAGACCGAGACCCAGACAGGGCTGGCAGGGCCCTCCTGACACTCAAGGAGAGCGGGCCAGGCGCCAGCGTCTCCAGTGGGTGCTTGTGCTGTTTTGCTAAAGCTTCAAACTCCGAGCACCAAAACATTTTGGAGAATTAGAAGAAAAAAAGGTTGCCATTGCTCTCTGTGCTTTTAGAAAGTGGAGGGCTGCACATCCAGCCTCCATCACTTCCATCTTAAACTCGCTGCTGAGGCCTCTCCACCCTCTCATGCAAAAGCTCGGTTCTCTCAGACTTTTGTCAAAAAATACCAAGAATCTGGTGTTTTGGGGAATATCCTCATTTTTTCCATTCTACTAAAAATATGAGTCAGTTACAGATCTGCTGTGATTTGCTATCCTTGGACAGTACCCTCTGTGCTTTCTGCTACCTCTCTCCCTTTGGGTCTCAGAAATAAGAATTTGCCAGATGTAATCTGGCTGGGATGGAGTTGAATCTGCATTGTGTGAATAATAGGACTGTCAGTGTTGTTTTTTTGTGGTGCTGAGGATCAGGCCCAGAGCCCGGAGCAAGCTAATAGGGTCCTCTAACCATTGAGCCACATTCCCGGCTACTAAGTTTTAGGAATAATTTAGGAAGTTGTGGTGAACGGCTGACCTTCTCCCTAATCAGACCAACTTGTATGTTTTCATGCAAAACAATTTAAAGCCCTACAAATAGTTTCCTCAGCTCCAATCCATTTTCCTGCGGTGGGGTGTAGTTAAATATATTGTATTTCTAGTTCAGTGACGTATGAGCAGCTCTGACTTCGGTTGAGCATGCCTGTGTCCCACCATAGCCTTTGTGTAAGACACAGCAAGCGCCCGGAGTCCTTGCTTCTGGGAGGCTCTTCCTTCCACACAGGCACTTGGAGGGTCTCAGCTGGGCAGCTGGTGGTCGGAGACAGGACGGTTTCCAGAGGCCTGAGCATCGTGCAGCCATTTCTGGTCCTCGGGCTGGAGTGAGCAGGTCAGAGGGTCACTGCCTCGAGCTGCCAGAGACACAGACACTGGTGGAGCTGAGAATTTGTAAATTGTGCTTTTCCAACATGCACATTTTAGCCACACCAAGTAGGTGCACTAAAGCTCCTGCCTATATTTAAAATTGTGCTTACTGCCCAGTTGGTCCTTACAGTACCATGGCTCTGTAACAGCAGAAGTTAGAGGTGATCATAGCACTGTGTGCAAGGGTAAGAAACCCTAGAAAAGGCTGTACTCCGTGTAACAGATTATGATGATTCGATGATGAAGTGTGTCTGACCCTAGAATAAAGTTTCTGAAGTAAATTTACAGTCAAACAGCCAATCATTTAGAGGAGGGGAACGTGGAATAAATTCAGTCTGTGGTATTCAGGGCCTCAAAAAATACTTTTTCTGCAGATAGTTGAAGAAAATTTAGGGAGCTTTTAGTACCTTTAACCATCTGACCAAAAACAGCAGCTGATAAATGTAGCATGGGAACCAACATGGTCACTTTGAGGTTTTCCACAATTTACAGAGATTGGGGATTCTTCCCTATTAAGACTAAAAACTGGTTCAGGATTAGGCCAGAATCACGTTTGACAGCAAGATGAAGCAGGTGCAACGCTTCTAGACAGAGTGGCGAGGTTGTGTCATTCGCACTGCACTTATGTGGTCCGGGGACTCATCCAAATGCTGGGTGTTCGTGGTTCCGTGTACTGTGGTGGACCGAGGCACCTCCAGGTGACACTGCCTTAGTTGGAAAAGTCAGTGTGACTGAGTTCTGTGTATCACCCTGATGCTGTAAGGGAATGGGCTGACCCCACCTATCTGTGACCCAGGAAGTTAAACAAGGGGTCTCCCTTTCAGTTGGGCCAATGGGGTAGTGTTGAGACTGTTTGAATTCTGTTCTATTCTTCAGCCCGTGGGGGCTCTGCTCTGGTGAAGCTAGAATAGCACATTAGACCTTCCTTACAATAATCACTAATGCTAGGCAAATGTAAACCACTTTCCCCAGAAGCAGGCAGCGGCTGGTGGGGACGGGACCCTGAGGAAGCCACAGCAGTGCGGTGAGATCTTCGTGGGAGCAGCTTTCCCTGGTGGGCTCCGCTCTGCCGCCACTGTGGCCCCAGTGAAGGGCTGCAGACCAGTGTGAAGGCCACTTTGGGAAAGCGACCCCAGCAAGGCCTGCTGAGCTCAGGAGAGCAGGGCGGTTCTGTGCCGGGTAAGTGCACGAAGAACAGCTCGGGCCTCTGCAGACGGAAGTCACGTAGCCAGGTTCTCTGCCCTGTTCTCCCTCACAGCCTGGTGGCTGTCGTCAGGAGTTGTACGTCCCCCAGGGCCCACTGTATGGAGGCTCCATCCAGCTTGGCTGCAGGGCACCGCTGAGGGGGGTGGTGGCCCTGGCGAGGTGCTGAGGCCACAGGGAGGCTGCCCCTGGGAGGGCGAGGGCCAGCCTCGCTGGTGGCTGAGGGCAACCTAGCTTCTGCACTAGCCCTGCAGCTCTCACCTGGAGGCCAGGCCAGTTCGGTCACCCAGACCTCTGAGCCTGAGCTGAGGAGACCTTGGTTGGCATCAGTCAGCTGCCTCGGGCAGTCCACTGCGTCAGAAAGCCAGCCAGGAAGATGTTAGCACAACCAAGCGTCACTAGACACAGGAAGAAACAGAAAACAGTGGTGAAGGGGTGTGGGAGTGCTCGAGGGAGGAGGGTGAAAAGGAACAAATTCATAAATTTGGTAGAAACAAATTCATAAAATGCTCAGAAGACAAGCACCAGATGGTTGTCATGTAATAAACTCGATATATTCGTGTATTAGCCATGTATGTAAGAATCACCTTGCTGCCAATATGATATGAGCACCTTAAAGTCTATAACAAGCTGTAGGTTTTAAAAAAGATTTTTGTGGGCTGGGGATTTAGCTCAGTGGTTTTACCGACTGCTGCACAAGAGCAAGGACCCAAGTTCGATCCCCAGTACCAAAAAAAATATATTTTTTGGTTATATTTCTGGCATCTAATAGAATAAAAAGGATTCTGATGGCATTTTCTTTACTGAAAGAACTGCTTATTCAGACTTGAGTAAAATTTGGCAGGCATCATTTTTCAACATAAAAACACTGACGTACACAACGTAAAGCAGGAGGTTGTCCAGTCCTTTGAAAGAGTAGTAATTTCCCCTGAATAAGAGTTAATGTAAACTGGGCACAGTGGCGCACGCCTGTAATCCCAGCACTCTAGGAGGATGAGGCGGAGGATCGAAAGTTTGAACTCCACCTGGGAAACTCAGCAAGACCCCGTCTCAAAATGTAAACAATACAGGCGTGGGGGCGGGGGGATGTAGCTCAGTGTGAAGGCCCTGCCAGGTGTGCTGTTAGTGTAGTACACCATTGGATATTTCCCATAACGGCAAAGAATATGGCCTTTAGCCCTCAGAGTGGGTTATTTCCGGTACGCTTGCTTACTCAGCTGGAGTTTTAAGTCTGTACTTCCGCCCCTGACGGCTGAGCCAGCGCTGACCGGCCTGGCTGAGTTTGGACTGGGCTTCGTTTCTGGTCCCAGTGTCCTTTATGCTCAGTGAAGTTTGGCTGCACCTGAGGTGTTTAAATAGCAATTTCCTTCTACTCCGTGGGAGGTGTGACCACCAGTGAACCCAAATCAGAGCATCTCTAAGTGGGGGTGCAAGAGGTGAAGATGCAAGCTTCGTTTGAAATTTCATTTTGCAGGGCCAGCTTGAAGAAAGCATTGTGTCCATGGACTCTCAGGACTGCAGTGAATACACAACCGCTCAGCGCGGGATGAAACCCAGGCCCTGCTGCACCACAGCCCTAAAGACTATTCAGTGTTTACAAGTACTAAACCATTTCCTTCTTCTGCAGACCGAGGGAGCGGAGTTTATCAGCTCTCCACCGGAGCAGCCTTGAATGTGTAATCCCCAGCAGAGGCCGGAGGAGAGGCTGCCTCTGCACCTGCCACTGCCTGAGACATCCCACGGGAGGGGAGATTCGCACGTCCCCTGCGGTCCGGTCCGAAGGAGCCCGCACCCCTCCTGCCTCTGCCGCCCCACCTGGCTCCGCCCACGCACAGGGTCCCCACCCCTCGGGGCAGGCATAGTGAGGGAGGAGTGCTTTCGCCAGCTGTAGAATGGTTTTCAAACCAACGCCTTACACATGTTTTTGGAACAAAGTAGGATATACAGAAACAGTACCCATTCGCCATTGTGGTGCTTCCTTCTCCTGAGCATTTTAAGACCCAGCCACCATGAAATGCTTCTTTCTTTTCCTCTCTCCCGCCCTCTTCCCCTGCATCCAGCACCCCGCCCAGGGAATCAGCGTCCTTTGTAGTTATCGTGCCTCTGCTTTGAGCCTGGCCAAGTATTTCTCGCCACAGAGAGTTTTC